GTCCTGGACAGAATTATATAATTCAGCAAATTCCTCAACAGCACCACAAGTATCACATCCAGAAGAACTTAAGCAACAGTTTTCAGTAGCTTATGAAATTACTGTTGAAAAATATGACTGATTTCTACTCAAAAACCATGTTGCTATGTGTATTGGATGTTGATCAACGCAAGTTACTCAGAGTTGCTCACAGTTACTCAGAGACACTCAAAATTAACTCTGATTTTACTCATGATCAAAAGCTGTCTTGCCCCTTGCTATTGGTCCAAATTGTGACACACTTGGAGTCTATGTGCCTCACATGGTGGTATCAATAGCTACTTTATCGATTTCTACTTTACCGACTCCAAAATAGAATGGACAAATAGATAAACAAACCTACCAGAGGGCAGAGCTTACACATGCCTTTTTTAATCCTGGACTGTTGAGGTGTGCTACTGCCGATGTCTTCGTTCGATCTCAGTGGGCCACGGTTGTTCTCATATATGAGGCTGGTTGATAAGGATGAAGTCACAACTCATGGTTTAGATGTTTACCTTGCAGAACAAGGACTTGACGTAGCATTGAAATGCAAAACACTTCAAATCCATCTATTTTGAACAGTAGTGTGATTCAATGGGCAATACAATTAAAATGATAGAGAAAGATCATGAATATATCAAAGTTTCAAACACTAAAAACCATGGTGAAATACAGATAAAATTAATGTGATTGTGCATATGAAAAATCAAGCGTTTAAACACTTTGATCAGACGTGTGGATTGTTTTAAGTGTAGGGTCTAATCGGAACTGTAATGCATGGTCGATGAGATCGACTCAAAATTGAGTGGTTTTTCACTCAGAATCGCAAAAACGTACACGGTAAGAAAAAAAAAATACTCTAAATTAAGTTTAAAAAAACTCAACGTTTGGTTGTACTATTTGAGGTCCGCCGTTGAGTGAATCAGAAAAGTAGCGTTGGTAGAAATTAACTTATCTATAGAATCATAATAGATGAACTCAAATTTAAGTTTTTTTTGTGTTAATCATTGTTAAGCTAAAAACGTTAAATTTTGCATTATCGATTGATAAAGTTCTCCGTATTTGTTTAAAAGTTACGTGTTTGTAAATTGTGTTGCATAAAGTAATTACGAAGAACACCTTGAAAAAATTATCAATATATTACATTTAACTAAAACACGCAGCAATTCCATGTTAAAAAGAACTCAACTAACTGTTGAAAGTACTTAACCGTCATGTTTTTACCGTTGGGTAGTATTAACTTACTTTTGGATGAAAATCATAGCAACATACGCTGCGGTCGATGCTGTAATTTTGTTGTGCTCCATTGCCTCCATTTGTGCTGCATTAATCCTCGGATTCCATTGTGTAAAGAAATATTAATTTGTATCTTCTACTGTAAGTTTGCATCGACCATAAGCACCCAAAAAAGCTGAACATGATACACAGACAATTTGTTCTACTGCAAACGAGTGGTTGCGGAATTTAAAATGCGTTGTATTAATTTCAATTGACTTAAATAAATTCAATTTACCTTTGGTTGCCAAATATTCGTTGATTTGCATTCTAAAGAAAGGAAAATTATACAAATTTACTTCCAACGTAAATTTTACCAATTTAATTCGATTGATAAGTGGCGCCGGTGGTGTACTGGTAAGCGTGATTACCTATCACCTCAGCAGGCCTGGGTTCTATCAAAGATATCTAATTAACAAGATATCCCACTAATCAATTCCTCATACAAGCAAAGATATCTAATTAACAAGATATCCCACTAATCAATTCCTCATGGAAGGCATATAATTACCACCCGTATGTGATCGCAGTGCCATCTGTTGAGTGCACATTGAAACTGTTGGGAGTTCCCCGCCAACTTCACCACCTGTGCTCAATAACTGACAGGTGTCAGCATGACAGATGTCAATGCGGACGTTGATGATTAGCCGAGTCTTTAAGTCATCATCATTATATTGCGATAGCAAGATTCTTACTTGTTTGTGATTGTTCCGATTTTCAATCATTACCACTTTATACGTAGCCCTGGGGGCAAGACAGCTATCGATCATGAGTAAAACCGAAGTTGATTTTGAGTAACTCACGCTGCTCAATGTCTTATATACACATAGCAACCTGATTGTTATATTGAAAATAATGTTGAAACCGATGCTGTCAAGCAAAGTAAGTTGACGTGTTTTCTTGGAATTTCTGTATAGGGACTTTTGGGGTGATTCGATAGGTTCGGATTAGACTAAAATAATTGCTTCACAATTGCTTGTTTTAATAAACTTTAATTCATTGCTAGAGGCAATACATCTGGCAACGCTTTTTAAATGATACATTTAGGATTGCTGGCAAAGCGCTAAAGTTGAAGTGGTTTTCTTTCGCTGGCGAAGCTGGCCAGAGCTGAGCTTATCTGGCCTAGAATCAGCTACATAATATGCTACAATCAGCAGTCAATTCTATTGACAACGAAGGAAGCTTAAAGCTCAGGTTGTACCTCAGGTAACCAAAAAGGAGCATTCCCAACAAACAATTTTAGCTGCAGATCAGCTTATAACGACAAAAATTAGCTGCATAAGGCAATTTCCGGCTGTATATGCTAGTCTGCAGCTAAAATTGTTAGTTGGGTTCCCCTTTTGGAACGGGTCACTCCCGTCACTCCTGTGTTGTCCCTGGTCGTGTCAATCCTCACCAACGAGGGAAGGCGCCTGAAAGGCATCCAAGCCACACACGAACGACAAGTCCCGTAAAACCGTCATGTAGTCAAATCACCACAGTAGCATTTCGTTTGTCCACAATGGATCACATCATTCGAGCAGTTTGAAATGACGTTTCCTACCACTCGAACTTTAACGTGGAACAATATTATGATATATTTTTTCTTCTACAACCTAGAGAAAATAGGGTCTTATTTGTAATATGCTTGAAAACGCGTGATTCGATCTTTCAAATGGGTGAACAGATGCTTCAAACGAAATATGCTGTCAGACGATATTTCTTTGATCAGAAAATCGAGACTACTTTGATCATATTTGAGTAAATATGAGTAACTCAAATTTACTCGCTGCAAATATATTTACTCTGAGTGCAGCCGCAACCGGAATACTAGAGAAAACCATCACACATCCAAGCGCGCATCATGATGTGCTTGTAATATGTTTTACTTTCGAGCGAAAGAGTTTCCAATATACCACCGGTATCAGTAAGATGCAAATCTCTAATAGTAATTGATGATTTGCGGAGCTGGTGCTCAAAAGAATCTTAATAAGCATAGAAGTAAACATGGGAAAAGCATTAACTCTCTCTAAAGAATTATTCCAACACCCCAGCCACTGGAAATGCAACGTATCGAAATCATTGCTGAACGTAATAAAATATGCCGTCTTCTTTGGCCAACGCAGCATGCATTCTATTCAAAAATTATAAATCATTACTTCCCTATTTTATAACGTAGGAAGTATTTGTCAACGTCGGTGAAAGCAAACGCAAACGGAAAAAGGCGAAGCTGAATGATGACGATGAGTGTTTGTCACCGCTTCGTGTTTTGATATGCGCTGTACCGTCCGCTCAGTTGTGTGGGTTCGTACATGTATAGATGTTGGTGTGCGTGTTTTCTTCCAACGCTGCAGTTCAACGTTGTCTCGTCACAAACCGTTTGGCGCTGTTATCTGTCTCTATAAATTCCAAAGAGTGAAGGGGGTCTGGTTCAATCCCAGTCGGCTCCGTCGGGATTTTCTGAGGCATAACATCTCTGATCACGCCTTCCTTCGGAAGGGAAGTAAAGCCGTTGGTCCCCGGTTCATGAGTTGATGGGTCGATAGGTAGGTCCAGGTGTGGGAGCTGCTGCTCAGCACGGAAAACAAGATCGACGGAAAACAAATCAAGGAAAAAAAATTCGATTGATCGTTAGGTAATATTCACTTAATGGACTCGTCATCAGGATTGCTCAAAGCTGAGTTTTCTTCTTTAACTTAATTTTACCTAGCCCACGTGATGATTGGAATGAACTCAATTTTGGATTCGTTTTTCTTACCGTCTAGGTCACTTATAGACGGAGTCAAATATTTCTCGCTTTTCCTAAAAAAAAACTGCTTGAATATCAGGAAAATCGACGAAAACTTTACTCAGTCTAGACTGAGGTAACCTCTCTCGATTTGTCTTATATTCGAAAAGTTTTTCCTACAAAACCTAAGTTTTTACAAATTTGAATGAACGGTACTCAAACATGAGTCAAATTGAACGGCTGTGTGCCTTATGAAGCTAAATGATATATAGAAAACACACTGATTAATTCTACAAAACATCTTGTTGAAAATATCTTTCCTTTTCGATTAACATTCATTTTTGGAATAAACATCACTGTTACTGTTACCCATGAGGGAACGGGAGGGAGGAAATCTGATTCACGCTGTATCAATATGTTTTTCATAATAAAGAACCTAATTAAATGTTACCGAGGAATCAATGCTATTCAAAACCTAATCCGCATTATCCGAATAGCATTTCAAGAATCTTTAAATTCCTTCTAATAAATTCCCTGCTATCATATGCCTCGCAACGCAAACAGAAAACTGTAAACCACGTCCAATTATCATAGAATCACAGTTTTATGACCTTCTGCTGCAGTCATTCTCACCAATCAGGTAGAGATTATCTTTAATCCTCTCGACACATTAAAAGCCATTAAAACTTTTCCTGACTATCACTTTTATGCTTCACTGTCCTTTGCCCAATCCCATCCCTTTATCCCATGATACACTCGGTTGGTCAGTTATACAAGGTGTTGACTCCCTGGTGACAGAAAAAAAAGCATCGCCTACTACCTTCCCCATGCAAAGGAAGAACAAAAAACTTCGGGTAACGAGCAATTTTCCCCATTTAGATTCTATTTACCACAGCGACAAATCGGTGACAGCGTCAGGGAAACGCAATTGAAAGAAGTGATTTTATTACCCCGATACCCCTTTCGTTTTCTAATGCTTTGCGTTTTTTTTTTCCAGTTTGTGTCCCATCCAAACGTTCAGCAACTGCTGGCCAGCATCTGGTACGAAGGTCTTCCGGGCTTCCGGCGAAAAAATATGGCCCTACAGGCACTGGAAATTGTGCGAATAGGTGAGCAGCCATTTGTTTTTTTTTTTCTCACACATTGGAGGACGGGTGTAATATAATAAAAAGAAATTGCAATTTCCACCTCAATTAGGATTCAAGCTACGCTCCCCGTGGGACTCTTTTCATGCTGCTATTTTCTCGGTCTTCCATTTCAGGTATGCTTTTTCCACTGTTTTCCATCTCATACATCATCGCACCGCACTCCACCTTCGGACAGACAATGAGAAAACCCTTTATCAAGTTTATTTGCCACAGTGCATCGTATTTTACCTTTCTGTGTGAGTATGACGACCGAGGCAGAGACCGTGCGTCTCCACGAGACTGGGAATTTTTAATGGAGATACATACGTTTGACTGACATGTAACTTTTTTTTTTCAGTTCTACTGATGTTGGCTTCGCAGCGCATTGAAACGGTAATTGGAGGCGTGTGGGGAGCCGAGATGAGTAGTCATGACGAAGTGCCTACAAAGAGGGGAGCGAGTCCCACGCTGGTTGAGTGGCTAATTTTGTCCTGGGTTAGCGGTAAGTACCAGTGCGCCGCTCCATCGAAGTGTGCCAGGTTTAAAAAAAATGTAGGTACATATATCTCAGTATGTCATGAATTCCGGACGAGAAACAAGATCTACTCACACAAGCCCACTGTGATTAAAACTTACCCGAAGAAAGTAGATATCTATTTGCCAAAGCGGAAGCTCACACAAACCAAGACTGCACGGATACCAATTCGGTTGATCGGCGAATAACAAAGAGCAACCGGAAGTCGGAATTAAAAATGTGGGAATCTAATTAAAACTCTTTGTTCTGATCGTATCGCTACCTATCTAGCAAGAGCAAACTAAAATTTGAACAAATTTAACTTTTCCGTCACTTCCGTTGAATGAATTTTTCTCCCCAATCCTTTCTTTTTTTTTCCTTCCTCTCGGTGGTAAAACAAAAACTCACATATTCTGCTGACGTGGCTGCACCAGGACTGATATGGAGCGAAGTGAAGCAGCTGTGGGACGTCGGTTTGCAGGAGTACGTGAACGATATGTGGAATGTGATAGATTTCGTGACCAACTCGCTGTACGTCGCAACGGTGGCACTCAGGGTGGTGTCCTACTTTGAGGTGAGTGGTAGATTTTGGAACAGTTAGATTTTTTGTTCATCGTGACACTGGGTGCAAAACAGTTAGCATTTTTAAACTGTTTGATGCGACAAATCAAAACTAAGCTAGGCAAGTATTATCAATGAATCAACATCAGAAATACACATAATGGAAAAAAGAGCATACTGCTTAAATTTCTGAAAATGATTGGGCAGCTAATTAAATGTGGGAAAAAAATTAATTAAATGATCCATACAAAAATAAAACTTGCTCCGTACAAACAGGCAGATAAACTAATTCAAAATGTCATAATTACCCAATAAAATGTTGAAGGCACCATAAATCATGGCAATGCACCAGAAAACTCAAAACTATCCTCCATAAATGAGAGAAAATGCAAACATATAAAAGATTAAAATGTTTGCTAATATTTTGTCCTATGTTTACGAAAATGAACGGAAACCTACTCAGTATTGAGTTGTCTTCAGCAACACTGCAAAAAGTTCAAACAGAGAACTTATTTTCATCCAAGCTTCGAAATGAAGAAATTATTTGACATGTTTATCGTTGTCATGGCAGCCCCAAATAAAATATGGTAATTTCAACTAAAGACAGCGATAGTAGTGAAATCTACTATATTAATTTGAAAGAATCATTATAAAAACTTCAAACTATTTTTAAGACCTCTAAACCTTCATACATCTTTACACGGCTATTGAATCTGATTTATATTCGAATTCCACTTACTCAAATTTACAGAAACGTAGGTCACTCAAAGGCTGAGTAAATGTTTACTCAAATATGAGAAAATGACAGTCTAATTTTTTTTGCATTTTTCAGCACTTATTTTTTCTTCCTTATTATTGAGATTTTTAGCCAGTTGGCTAGTTCATCTATTATTATCTTTAGCACTCATTTTTTTTATACTTTTTTTTAGCAAGAATGGAATGCAAAATTCGTGTCAAATTAGGTCAACACAATTGAAAAAAAAAATGTGGTACAAAAAGTACGAAAAACCTATTTTGTCACACTGTCCAAAATCAAACATCATAAAAGTTCTTAAAAGAATTATTTCTATTTGTTTTTGTGAAGTCAAATTCTTACGAAAATCGTGAAATTATAATAATCGAAGAACCTTATTTAATTTTCAAATACTTTTATGGATTTGGTTTGGAGTTCAAAGCTGGATGCAGTGCTGATAAAAATCATTTCTTCTATACTCAACTTAGTTGAAAATGAAGACAACCTTAACAGATAGACCAACTACCTGCATGAATTTGAATTTTAACACAACAGCATTTTCTTGATCATGGTAACCTCTGAGTATCGTAATCAACATTTATTTTTCTTCATTCGTGGCTGGATTTTCATTATCGCTTCTGTTTTTTGTCAATATTAATACTCGTCTTCATCTTGATGGGGATGATGTTGAGGATCAATTGCAAATAGATTATTTTCATTTTACACAACTGTAGTGCTGAAGAACGTATCGTGTTGGTTTTTACACACAGATCGATGGAAAATGACTGCCTCATGCTGAATTGATGATAAAATTGAGGTTTTAGGCTCTGGGGTGGACAATATTCAAAATAATCATTTTGCCCAAAATGAATTTGATTATTTTGCTTTTAAGGATCGATTTGGATTTTGACAATTGTGGGTCGGATAATCAAACACTGGTGAATATCAACAAACGCGTATTCGTTGATGTATAATGAACTCGTTTGTTTATTTCGCTCGTAAGTCACAGCGAAGATTTTCAAAACAAACGAAATTCCTCTACACTGGTTTGCAGCGATACTCCTTGCGTGTGATGGTAAATAATAAGAACAGACACTGGCGCTAGTGTGCATGCAAAATTCAGCATTTTTGTATTTGTTTTATCTCGTGATCCCGACCACCTAGGAAGTACGAGTCTTGACCAAAGTAGTTCAGAAAACCAAAGGCGTGTGGAAGGAGAACATTGGTTCAGATTTCTTTCACTACGTGGCACTAGTGTGCATGAATAATGAATAATTGACTCCGAGCTTTCAGGAATGATTAGAACATTTTGGAAATGATTCAGTATTCTCCGAAGTGTTTCAATACTTGCGGAAGTGATTTCAATTTTTTAATAATTGAATCAGTTTTCGAAGTGTTTCCGAACTTTTCTGTAGTTATTCAGTTGTTTCTGAAGTAATTCCAAACCCTTTTTAAATGATTCAGTGCTTTCTAAAGTGATGCAGAACTTGTGGAAGCAATAACAAACTTTTTTGGAATAATTCAATACTTTCCAAAGTGATTTCAAAATTTCTTAAGTAATTCAATACTTTCATAAGTGATTCAGAACTTTTCTTAAGTGAAATTGCATTGAAAACAGAATGAAGTTGGAAGTTTAGTTTTCTCTTTTTCTGCTCTGAGCTTGTCTATCTCTGGTGAAGGTAGACAGTAAAGTGATCAAACCCACCGGCTTGATGAAAATATGCTGGATTAGGATTATTTATAACGCACTAGCGTGTGAACAAAAAGGCAAGCAGCTCCCAAACTGGCACCATCAGTCATTTTGGTCATGTATTTTTTTTGTTTTTCTTCTTTTGATGTAGGATTACGTCCTTTGGCAACATATTGGGGTGCAATTAAAAAAAAAGCACCGCACTACCGCGTTATGAAAAGTGGTCAGGTTTTGACCACTTATAACTATGTCAATAGGGGATGGATTTTAAATCTAAACAAGGCAATCGATAGGAAATTTTTCTTCGAATCTGCTAAAATGAACACTTAATCACTGAAAGTTGCACAAATGCCCAACTGAAGCAATAGAGATCAATATTATCACCCATTCACGGAGAACACATTTGTTAAGTTAAGATAACAATCCTTATAGTTACTTTCACATGGAAAAATATTGTTGTTTGAAAGAAACCTATAGTTATTCCAACATTAATTTGACCGTCAACTAATAGATTCAACTGTTCATCTTATACTCAATTCAACTATAACTTTGATCAATTATAACAACCGTCAAATGTAATTTATTTATATAATTTAGTTTCAAGTGATCATCATAAATCCACACACTTTTAACTTGTGATGCGTAGAGCAGGCGATAAGATAGCTGGCTCTCACGCAGATGAACACGGTTAAAATCTAAGTTGAATTTTCTTGTACACTTTTTTATGATTTTGCAGTTGTGTTTTTCAGATCGATAAGCAAAACACCATTCGCAAACGTCCTCCCACTGTGTGGTGGGACCAGGAATGCACCGACGTGAACAACGAGAAGTCTACCGCGTTTAAACAGTTTCGTAAATACGGTTCCCGCGAATAGTTTGAGCGGTATACGGAGCTAGAGGAAAAGTTTAAGAGCTTGGTCAGGGCCAAAAAACGCGGTTACTGGCGTCGGTTCGTCGAAGGGCTATCGCAAGAGACTTCCATGCAAACGCTCTGGAATGTCGGCAGGAGAATGCGTAACGCGGCATCGTCAGTCAACGAGGACAAGGAGCACTCTAACAAGTGGATTTTCGACTTCGCGCGTAAGGTTTGTCCCGATTCGGTTCCGGTTCGATGCAACACTCGCGATCCACCGCTGGAAAACGATGACATGGACTCCCCGTTTTTGATGGTAGAATTCTCAATTGCTCTTCTTTCATGCAATAACTCGGCTCCGGGAATTGATCGAATCAAGTTCAACCTGCTCAAGAACCTCCCAGAAGAGGCGATTGTTGAGCTTGTTCAATCGATTCCTTGAGCTCAACGTTGTTCCGGATGATTGGAGACAAGTGAGAGTTATCGCCATGCAGAAGCCCGGTAAACCCGCGTCGGATCATAATTCGTACCGTCCCATCGCGATGCTATCGTGTATTCGGAAGCTGTTAGAAAAAATGATTCTTCTTCGTCTGGACAAGTGGGTCGAGGCGAATGGCTTACTCTCAGATACGCAATTTGGATTCCGTAGGGGCAAAAGGACGAACGACTGCCTTGCGTTGCTTTCAACTGAAATCCAATTAGCCTATGCTAAAAAACAGCAGATGGGTTCAGTTTTCTTGGACATTAAAGGGGCGTTTGATTCTGTTTGCATCGACATCCTTTCGGACAAACTCCATGCGAGTGGGCTTTCTCCGATTATCAACAATTTCCTGTTTAATTTGTTGTCCGAGAAACGAATGAGCTTCTCTCATGGCAACTCGGAAATTGCACGAATCAGCTACATGGGTCTTCCACAAGGCTCATGTTTAAGTCCCCTCCTGTACAATTTCTATGTCAAAGACATTGATGAATGTCTGGCCGAAAATTGCACGCTAAGGCAGCTTGCAGATGACGGTGTGGTTTCCATGGTTGGACCACAGACAAACAGACATAACGCTCGCAAGTTGTTCATCGAACAAGCATTTAACGGTCAATTTAAAAGTATCGTAGTTGGTAGTACCGCCACCTGTGGCGCGCATAGTCAATTCCCTTGCGTTTGATGTTTACACACTACCACCATCTGTTCAGTGTACTACCCACCACAGTGTATTCAACAGATGACGGTAATGTTTTAGCGACGATGTTTTACAATGATAAATATTCAATGTGTTATGTCTGTTTGTCTGTGGTTGGACCATGAAACTATCTCTTACTTCCTCAGGGTCAGATGGACCCCTTTCTAAGCCCCTAGTTGCTGGTCAAGCCACGGCAACCGTCTGGGGTGGGCGTAAGATGTGCCTCTTTTGATGATAGTTGTGGTTAAGGGTCGTTACAATGGAGTCGCCTGGAAAAACTTCAACTTACCTTTTTCTCTGATTACTGGATGAGACAACAAAGCGGATTATTTGAACAATGAGAACAATAGGAATACAAAACAATCAAAGAACTTTCAAATAATTAATTAAATCTAAATTTTAGGTTGAACTTCACATTTTATTTCAGAAGTTTTATTCAGAGTGCAGTGAGAAAATCAAAAAGGGGTTTTAGTCTAGGGTTTTAGTACTTGCGCATTTTATTTCACTGCATTTCACCGGTGAGCTTACGTTGCGGCCGTGATGCACTCGTTGGTCGACATTG